TGTTCATGACCTGTATCCTGAAGCCTTTAGGGTTTGTCAGAGGTTCTTCTGTCTCACAACAGACCTCATGACTGGTACAGAGCAGGTCTGGCCCTTGCAAAATAGCAGAATATTGTTCTTTCCTTGGCCATTTCTAGGGTAGCTTTTCCATGATGGCTTCTAGATCTGTTACTTTTGAAGCTTTGACTGGTGTATTTCCAGATGCTTTTGATTGTGTTTTGTGCTGTATCTATATATTTTTGGTTACCAATGGTAAATGTATTTTAGGTGGAGACAAAATCTTGCCCTAAGAAGTTTGGCATCAATGCAGCTAAGGTAATCCTAGAATTAACACCAGAGTCCACAACTGACATTTTAATGCTGTTAATAGGCTGGTGCGGTTCATGGACCCAGCCAGGTACTCACTGAAATGTTATATACAAAGTTCTTTATGTTCCAGTAATCAGACCATAGATGTCAGCAATGAGAAAAATCTTTCTGCTAATCCAGTCCATTTCCCTGAAAATGCAGCAGTATTTCCATCAGTATTGTCTGGTGTTGAAGTCCAGCCTGGTTCTAAAAACCCTATGAAAAGGGGTTTCCACCACTTATTTAGACTAGTCCACAGCCTAATATTGGTTACTGCCAAGAAAGCTAGATTAGTAGTGGATGATATTAGATATGTTTTTGTCCAGAAAAGAGAATATTATATTTCAGTGTATAGACAATATATTTTGCACTTGATGTTTGATTTATCTTGGAAGATTTCAAAGCCTTTTACACATGTACTAATCTTCACAACATCCTTGTTAGGGTAAAGTACAGATTAGTTCACTGACATGTTTAAGGTCACACAGGAAGTCATTAACTGACTAGGACCTAGAATTCTTGCTTCAACCCACACCCCATTCTAATCAAAAGACAATGTTTTCTCATTGTCACCTTTATGCAGTGACAAGAAAAAGGAATACATAAAGTTCACTTCTTGATCATTTTTTATTTTCACTGTTTCATGTGAGTTAAGTTTAAGACGGAATACCAATTTTTGTAGTTTAACTGCATTGGCTTGATTTAACTGATTGATTTGACCTGTTAATTTGACTGCATGAATCTAAGGAACATGAAAAATGTGAGAAATTGACAAGTTAGAAACAGTTGCAGATGTGGAGCTAAAAAGCTGCTTCTTGACAACTGAAACAAAAAGAGTAGAACAAAAACACTTAAATTGTGTGCCTTTATTATTTTTCATTATTCAACACACAATTAACTTGGGAATTAACGTAGACAGTGGGAGTGACAAAGCAGGCATGAATTTACAGTTGCACTTGCTAGGATTAAATTACAACAGCTTTCTATCGTAGTAACAATCTGGTGTTAAGAAGGAATGTAACCATGATGTAGTGTTCTTAAGTTGAATGTCTGGGCAGACATGAGGGATAGGGGGAGGTGAATAGCTTTCTATGATGTAGCCAACCTTTGCTGGGGGAGAAATAGGCTAGAGACCATTTCGTAATCTATGCTTTCCTATGATTCCAAATGAAGCCTTGATATCTAGGGGTATTGACAGTGAGGCTGAGTTTGAAGCTGCAGCACCAAAGCAATTCTAATGCTATTATAATCTGAATACTAATAACATCTAATGTCACAAAATGCCAGTTTTTCCCCAGTCCACCATAGTAGAGCTGGTTCTGATTTGAGATTTAGAGGGCCTGAGTTCTGTTCTCCACTGTGCCTCCGGTCTGCAGAAAGATTTGAGCAAGACCCTGGAGCTTTTAGTGCCTCATTTTTTGATCTGTAAAATGGGTTTTTAATTGTTAACATACTTGTCCACCCTCAACAGTATTCCATTGTTAGTGATACATTTGTAGGTGTTCATGAGTGCTTGGACTCAGTTTGATTGGATTAGATGTTTGTGTGCTTTATGAAACGTGAGGCTACTCCGTGATTACACCCCCATCTGTCTAATGCCACGTGCATGGAGGTAGCTTGAAAAACACAAGACTCTGATGCCATTACTTACCTCCAGTTCTGGGAATCATCCCTTTGTTTTATACCAGTTGCATTTATCCTGTTTTAAATACTGCACTCTGCAATAGGGTCTTGTAATTACAAAATATGAAATCAGACTTGTGGGGAACAATCCTTCACTCTGCAGGGCAAGCAATGTAAAATAGCTTTGTTTTCTTGCAACTACAAAATTATTACTCTTCTGTCTTCTCCCTTATTGCACCATGCTGATGGCAGAGGAGAGATTCCTCCCACGCATATACACCCACATATACACAACAATGTGTGGAGTTACACAGTGGAGGGGAGCCTCTTATGCTTATTATTGTTGGCATGCTGTGGGAACTTGGAAACTGATGTTTGACTTGTGAAAAGTGTATTCTTTCACGTGGATTTAATAACCCTAATTAAATAATCCAGTTGAGATCATAATCTCATTTACAACTCTGATACTTCATGACAGGAAATATATGTCTTCAAGTGAGCACATGCATGCACACCCAAGAAATGCTTATCAAATAGACAGGGCACATGAAGTCTCTTTTTAAAAGCAAATTAAGAACCTTAATGTCTTACAGAGCACAGATGGGGGAAAGAATCAGACAAGGAGATTGTTCAGGAGGATTCAGGGAGGTGGCAGGAGAATTGTTGGGTTTTTCAGGGAGGGGAGAGATGGGATTCAAGGAATGTTGGCACCTGTAATATACTACAATATTACGTAGTCTGGCGGAGTCAGTGCACACTCCATCTATTTCAGCAAAGTGGACAGAAAGAGCTGATGGAGTTAGCATTCCAGGGCAGCATCCTCCGAGATTCAGCCTGGTGATAGGACCAGGGCTATTTGGATGTAGTTTGGTCTAGGGAGGGGAGAGATGGGATTCAAGGAATGTTGGCACCTGTAATATACTACAATATTACGTAGTCTGGCGGAGTCAGTGCACACTCCATCTATTTCAGCAAAGTGGACAGAAAGAGCTGATGGAGTTAGCATTCCAGGGCAGCATCCTCCGAGATTCAGCCTGGTGATAGGACCAGGGCTATTTGGATGTAGTTTGGTCTTCCAGTTCCAGTCCTAACAGCCGGAATTCCTGTCTCCTTCAGGGAATGTCTAGTGGGCAGAGCCCAGCAGAGAAGCTACAAACTGTTCATTGGGAGGTCGAAGGAGCCAGGTAATGGAGAGGCTAGAGCCACAGCTCACTGTGGTGGATGTTGGGACACTAGCTAAACCTGGAGTTTCAGCTGGCAGATTTCTTCTATCACCAGATTTGCTCAATGTTGCCTCTGACAGGTGACTCCAGGGTTGCCTCTAAGTGCTGTTTTTTTGGCCTTGCTTCTCCTCAGTATTACTGCCCCAATTAAGATCAGCCTTCCTTAGGTGCTTCATACTGCCATCAAGCGAGGGCTTCTTCAGCGGCTCCCAGCCACCCTCCTCTTGCATGCCCTGCAAGCAGTAACAGGGGAGCCCTACTCTGCAATAGGTTTTTTTAAAATTACTTTCTTACTAGGTTCTTTATTGCTACTTTTTTATTAGACTTGTGAGGGGTTGAGCTCTATTTGTGAGTGTTACTTAGTGCTTAGGGGCATGATTGCCATTTAAAAATTACTTTCTTACTAGGTTCTTTCTTGCTACTTTTTTATTAGATTTGTGAGGGGTGGAGCTCTATTTGTGAGCATTACTTAGTGCTTAGGGGCATGATTGCCCTGTCAGATTCTGTCACATGTCCATACTGCTGACATCCTGCATGACGGGCACATTCCCTTCTCTCATGCAGAGACTGGGTGGGGCAGCAGGATGATAGCTCAGGTCACCTTCCTGCATTTTTACAAGGTCAGTAATGATCCCATGTCACTGCCAGCAAAAAGACTGTGCAGTGGTCTGTTTTAAATGTTTGCTTTCAGTCCTGTGCCTGGAATAGAGGTATCGACTAATACCAAAAAAATAAAAAAAAAAATCATTACAGCGGATACTACCTGATACCTGGTTGTATCAGTCAGCAGAAAGGCCAAGGATTAGTTGAGCATGAAGACAGTTCAGTCATCTGATGCCCAGAAATGATTCATCACGGTCAAGGCCTGAGACTGATTGGCTGTGCAATCTGAGGATTTTTCATTTAGCCGCTGCTGGAGGCATCTGTCCCATAGAATGACCAAGATTTTAGGGTCTCAGTTTGTTTTCCTATGGTCAAGTGTAATTTTAAGTAACTGTTGACAGTTATTATAGTAAGACTGTAATAAATATTTTATTAGAAGATAATCTTGGTTTATTCTAGTGCTCAGTGCTGTCTTCATCTATTAGCATGAGATCAGATTCAAACCCTTGTGTCCACATAGTGGAAGCACTGTAAAAATAGTTGGCATGTTTCCTGGTTGGACAGAGGAGTATGAACATAGAAGATGAGAATGGGACAGCAGATTCTCCTTATGATGGCTATTCATTATTCTATCATCATCTAGACCAGTGTTTCTTAAACTGTGTTCCACCGCGAGGCAGTCGGAGGTGTGCCGCAAAAAACAACAGAATTCAAAATGGCCACCCTTAAAGGGGCAAACGACCTTTTTTTCTCAATAACTTTCCCCTAACCCCCTTTCCCCCTGTACTTTTTTGTTTGTTTGTTTCCTCAACAAAAAATCCTTGGTGTTCCTCATTAAAAAATATTATTGCTTGGTGTTCCTCAGTCTTAAAAAGTTTAAGAAACACTGATCTAGACTATTATTCTAGTCATTGTACAAACATCTCTTAAGAGATTGTTCTAACCCTAAAAATCTATCAGGTATGAATAGATAAGACATAAAGATAGGACATAGATAAGGAAGTGGTATTTCCATTTTACAGATGGGGAAAAATTGAGGCATAAAGATGAAGTGGTTTACCCAAGGTAATACAAAATGTCCTATGACAGAGCCAAGAATTGACCTCAAATCTCCTGAATCCCAATCTAGTACCTTATCACTAGACCTTTTCCCATGGAGGACAGATGCTATAACATTCAAATGATTATTTTTGTAATCTCTAGGATCACATGATTCTTTCAGCTACTGGGTGGATGAGAAATCTCCTGTGGGACCTGACCAAGCCACAGCAATCAAACGTTTGGCTAAAATTTCTTTGGTGAAGAAGCTGATGAAGAAATGGTCAGTGACTCAAAACCTAACCTTCAAAGAACAGCTAGAAGGTGGGATCCGCTACTTTGATCTGCGTGTATCTTCCAAACCAGGAGAAGTGGGAGAGGAGATCTACTTCATACATGGCTTGTTTGGCATCAAAGTATGGGACGGACTGATGGAAATAAACACCTTCCTCACCCAGCATCCCAAAGAAGTCGTCTTCTTGGATTTCAATCACTTCTATGCCATGGAATACCGGCACCACATATATCTGATTAACAGGATCCAGGAAGCATTTGGGTCAACACTTTGCACAATGGAACATGTAGAAAATATGACCTTGCAGTACCTGTGGGAGAAGAGTCAACAGGTGGGGAAAGGCATGTAATGAGTCTAAACCCAAAATGTTACCATTCAAATGATAAAGCATGTCTAATAAGATTCCAAGCATTTTAGTTGTTTATTTGCTTATGGTGGCGTCAGGGCCAGGGCCTCATTTTTAAGGAATTCACAAATATGCAAGACAGAAACAAGCTTGCATATGTAATTGATCTTCTGTGAAGCGTTGCCTTGGTGTTTGTGAGGGCACCTTGTCCTCCAGTAATTAGCCCACACAAAGAAAAAGAATTTTAATTCTACAGATAGTTAATACATAATCACTTCTCACCTGTGTTTTAGGAGAAAACCATCTGTGTTCCATCCATGTTGGTGCTTGAGATGGTGACTATAATGTTTGTTGATTTCAGCTCACTAATGCACAGTCTTGAAGAAAAAGATTCCCCATGCTTCTATTTAATTCTTTAGTTATAGTCATGTGTGTGCTATCTTCACTTTGCTTATAGGATTCTACTTGATTAAGGCAAGGAACCCCAAGTCAAATCAGATAATGAAAGGTGTTCTGGTTTAGCTCCATTTCCTTTAAAAACTTCTAGGATGTTCAGCTGCATATAGAGGCAAACAGTATGATTCCAGCTTGAAACTCTCTGAGGTGCTGAATTAGAATGCTGAATCCAAACTTAGGGTACGTCTAGACTACCGCGTTTTGTCGACGGAAGTTTTGTCGACAGATACTGTCGACAAAACTTCCATCGACAAAGAGCGTCCAGACACATTGAGTTCTGTCGACAAAGCAAGCTGCTTTGTCGACAGAACTCCGTAGTCTGGACGCAATGTTACAGGCAATAACACCTTCTGTCGACAGAGTTCTGTCGACAGAAGGTGTTATGCCTCGTAAAATGAGGTATACCAGCGTCGACAAAACTGCTGAGTTCTGTCGACGTTATGTCGACAGAACTCAGCGGTAGTGTAGACGCTGGTATAGTTTTGTCGACAAAAGTCCACTTTTGTCGACAAAACTAGGTAGTCTAGACACACTCTTAATGTTAACTGTGGATATGAACGTACCAACTCAAACTTTTCTCAGACAGTCACAACACAGTCAATGTGATGGGTCAAGTCACAGAGATCCCCTTTAAAAACTCACCTGATGAGCTGATCATACCACTGAGCTCACCTACCTGCCCTCTGGGGTGCCCCATCACCCTCTTCTGCTGAGCCAGAACCCCAACCAAGGCACACAGTTGGGGTAACAGCCCATTGCAGAGCAACATAGACACTGAGAGCAGCTCAACTCTGGGAAGGCTTAGTCTCAGGGACTTGACACAACACCCAGGTGCACAGCTCCAGTGAGACCAAAATCCTGAATAAATCCACCTCATGATGAGTAAAGTTTATACAGTGTGAGCTCATGAGATGTTTATCCCTTTTATCAATGAAAGAGAGATTGGCACAGCTCTTGTCCCATCCCCCCATAACAGTTATTTACATTGGGTTTAATAATAAACAAAAATGATTGTATTAAATATAAAAGTAGGATTTAAAGGGTTGCAAATGATAACAGATACAAGTACTCTAAAAATAGTTCTAATAATCTTTTCTCACAAGCTCGACAACCTCCTTGTTTGGGCTTGATCCTTTCACGTATTCAGTCTGAGGTGGGAATTCTTTGTATTCAGCTTCACCCCTTTCACACCTCCGTGGAAAAGTGCCACAGTGAAAATGGGTTCCAGCATCAGGTAACCTGGGCACATCTTAGCAAGACCAATCCTAATCCAAATTTACAGAAAGCACAATACTATTCATGGGTTGTTGTCCTGAGCAATGAGCCATTAAGTTCCTTAAGTACCACTGATGTCTTTCACTAGCATACCTAGATCAATAGGCAGGTTTATACTTGATATTCTAACTTCTAATGCAGGTGTGACACTTGCACACAAATAGAGTGTACACAGGGGGGAATAACAAGCTCTTCGATGATAGGTTACATGCCCGTTTTGCACAAAACATATTCATATTCAAAAACAAAAACTTCATAAAATATGGGAGCATAATGTCCTATATTCACATGGCACCAGGATTAAAATTCTGATATGTTAGCTCCTGAAGGTACAATGCAGATTAGAGCTGACAAAGAGATTGACTTTGGTGTTCCAGTCCATAAATGGCAATGGAACACCAGTATATGATCCAGCTCAGTGTATCACAGCAAGTTAATTTGAATTAAGTTGTACAGTATTTTAGTTCCTAACTTGCCACCATCCTTTTCCTGAGAGAAAAGTAATACTGGCAATGCTGCATGACAAATGTTAAGAGTAAGATTAGATGAATGTTGTTTAAGTACAAATTTTAAAATATCGTTTCAATTTCATCCTATAAATTCTCCTTTTTCTCTAGTCCTGAATTTCTAGATAATCAAAATCATTTTCTCATTTCTGGCAATACTTTAGAGAATTAATTGTTTTCAGTGTACTAGTTCAAAGTCAGGAGGCCAGATTTTCACTGGATTATACATATGTATAGTCAGACGTCAATGGAAGGCATGGGTATATTTAATTGCAAATTTTGACCCAGAACATCATGATTCAGTTTAATTTGCATCCTTTTCTATCTTTCCATTATTTAGGTTCTCATTTTCTACCACTACCCTCTGTATCAAGAATATTCTTTCCTATGGCCAGGGAATAAAATACCAGCACCTTGGGCAAACACAACGAACGTGCACAAGCTATTACAGTTCTTAGAGACCACTCTTGGGGAGCGGGCTCAACATGGAACTTTTCATGTTTCTCAAGCTATTCTCACACCCAGGGTCAAAACTATTGCACGGCATCTAATCTGTGGCCTCAAAAATACGCTTGTTCACAGGTAAGGATTTGTCTTGGTTCCACAGCACCTTGTTTGAAGTTTTTACATTGCAATTACAATGAATAAGCAAGTAACTACCAAGCCTGTGCTTGAATAATTAACAACATACCAGTAGATGATCTTTCTGGATATATTGTTACTTTCAGTAATCAAATATAAGTATCTGTCTCCCTGAAGTTAAACTAAACCACAAAATATCCCTTTATGTGCAAACATCCCAGGTAACATATTGGTAAGATTGAATTTAGGGTATTGATGAGATGTCAGATAAAGCTCAGCCAGCTAATGTGCTACTACTTTATCAGTTCAATCTGGGAAGTCGAGTCTTTCAGTAGTCAAGAATTATGGGCTTACTTCTCCTGATATTAATACATTTGTTTACAACAGGGTCTCAAATTCCTGGCCGGTGGGCCATCCCTGACCAGAGTAATTTTGCAATCCAGCCCAGGACTCCAGCAGGCCAGGAGGGACCTGTTTGTTACCAGTCCCAAAGCCCTGCCCCTTCTCACTTCCATGGATTATAAGGACAGAAGGGAGCACTGTGATCATCTAATCCAGGGGTTTCAAATTTCCATTCCATGTGTCCTCCCTGGCTGGAGTGATTGCCCAATCTGGACAATGACTCCAGCAGGCTGAGGGGAGGGGGCTATCTGTTACCAGCTCTGAAACCCCACTCCCCTCCCACCAGCACCCTGCCCTCTGCTCCCCATGGTATTCAGGGGGTCAGTGGGGAGAACCTGGGGCTGCTCAGGGTCAATGGTTGTGTCTCTCCTCCCCTGCACTTCCCACTGTGGCAATATCCACAGGGAAGTGGAATGCACTGGCTGAGCACACTCACTCCACTGTGCTCCACTTCCTCTTGGCTCCTGGGGAGTGCAGGGGGACTTGACCACTACTGCGGTGGCAGGCCTCCCCTTTGTTGATTCCTGAAGCCATGTCCTTGGGGATGGAGTACCATGGGGTAAGAGGGCAGGGCAATGGTGGGAAGAGCTGGAGCTTGGGGGCCGGTAATGGAGAAGCCCCCTCCCCTTGGCCTACCAGGAGTTCCAGGTCAGATTGCACGATCACTCTAGCCAGGGATGGGCACAGTGGCCAGGAGTTTGAGAGACCTGGTTTACAACAAAAGTAGGGTTTAACCACTTCTTACCAGTTTCTTATCTAGTTTTGACCTAGATAAAGTCACAAGACACCGTTATCAGCCATCCACCAGGTGCAACTTGGTAGATCTTAACAAGATATTCATCTTATCCCTGAAAGTTCCTACATGTAGCCAAGAACAGAGTTAATACAGGCAGTCCCCGACTTACGCGGATCCGACTTATGTCGGATCCGCACTTACGAACGGGGCTTTCTCGCCCCGGAGCTCACAGGCAGCAGTCAGCCACCTTGACCTCCGGGGTGAGAAAAGCTGCTCCCGGTGCCCCTGGTCTGCTGGAGACAGTCCCCAGCA